CCATGGGCTGCCCTGGAAAGGAGAGGATTGGGGTCGAGGCTTCCTCACGCAGCGCTCCTTCCTCAAACCACGGAAGGGGCGCCAGAAGAGGTGGTGCACGCCTCTTCCTTCGCAGCATTTCTGGACGCTCCAATGACATCCTCAGGAAGGGTTGGGGTCCGACTGCCCCTCCCCTTCCTGGGCTTGAAGATGGCACTTTGTGCCATCTGCAAAGCCCCTTAAAGAAGAAAAAATGTAGTTAAAAACCCAAAACCCTGGTCCATGAGATGGAAAACAGTACATGTAACATCTTTGTGCAAAGAATCCAAATGTATAAAAGATAAAAACAGTTACACACCTCCAGTAGCAGCTACAGTTGATGGCTTACTATAACAAAAGAAGGACAATTAGCATCTCTTGTAGGGAGGTACAGCCCAAGAACAACTGGATTTTTATTCTATTAAATGTAGTGATGAATTCTTACTTATCACTAGGTTTCCAGATTGTATACTGGATTCACTGTCTAATGGTTGTGTAGAAGAGTAAATTTCAGCCAGTGTAGCTTTGCCGTGCTCTCAGGTTACAAGCAATATCTACTGAAATTCTGTATAACCATTAAGATATAGGAGCCTTCCCAGTTTTCATTCTAACTACCCTCCAGCATGGTGTAGTAGAGTTTTGAGCTTCAGGCTATGACTCTGGAGACCAGAGTTAAAATCCTCACGCAGCCATAGAAACTCACTGTGTGACCTTGGGCAAGTCACAGGACCTTGGCCCCAGAGGAAGGTAATGGCAACCCCCCTGTGAACAAATCTTGTCTCCCCAAAAAATTGTGATAGGTTTGCCTTAGGGTTGCCACAAGTTGGAAACAACTTGAAAGCATACAGCAGCAGCAGCAGCAGCAGCATCTCTCCTCAGTAGCTTTATGCTGGAGCTATCTACTTAATGGTTTTATCCATCTGTATGAATAATAATCTTAACCTTATAGTATAAATAAAAATAATGGGCATGTTCTAGCCAAAATACACTAATTGCTTTTCTTTGTATAGTTGCTGCGCTTGCCTAGCTTTCATCCCTGTTACTATTTAAGACTTAAAGAGCATAAGAAACTATTAGCTATAAATTAATATCACCTGGTATTTATCTTTTTAATGGTTTATGGGTTACAGTTTACACTGATGTTTCTCTGTTTTCATCAAAATGAACAGCAACAGCAATAACAACAAACTCTATTTCCCTGTTTCTCTGTTTTCCATATATAATATTGGCCATGATGCTTTCTGTAAATAAATAAACAAAAGTTCCATAAAAGAATTTAAAGATTAAGTTGCATTATAAAAGTGGAAGAACTAGACAGAGAGATAAAACATATCTATTAATTTGAAAGGTACAGACAGTCTGATTTGTTTCCTCTTCTCTTAAAAACCATTTATTTTTAAAGTAACTACTGAACTTAGATTTTGAATGCTTTTTAAAGAAAACCAGAAGCCAAAGTGGCAGGACATATATAGATTCCCATGAGACAGAATTGGAAGTCTCTTTGTCTGAAATGTTTGCCCTAAAGCTGTAGGTCTCTGTTATATCTTACGTACCCTCTCCAGAAACTTGCTCTGCATTAGCTTGAAAACTTCCAAGGTTTCAGAGCTTGGTGCACAGTGTAGTTGGTTGTATCTGATTTGAGACCTGGAATTATTGAGGTTAAATAATTTTCTGAGAGTCAGTGTGGCATAGTGGGTTGAGAGTTGAACTATCACTCTGGAGATCAGGGTTCGAATCCCTCACTTGGCCATGGAAACCAATTGAGTGACCTTGGACAAGTTACACACTTTCATTCTC